TGTGGGGCGGGAAGGCGCGCGCGCTGCTGGCCGTGGGGCTCGGCGTGGCCCTCGAGGCGCTGGCCCGCTGGCTGCTGCGGAGGCGGCGGGGGGCGGGCGGGGCGGCGGCTCTGGTGCGCGAGGTGCTCTTCTTCCCGTCGCGCGTGACCTGCGTGGAGGCGCTGCTGGCCGGCGCGGGCGGGGGCGCGCCGGGGCCGTGCGCGTGCCCGCTGCCCCACGGCGAGAGCGCGCTCAGCCGCCTGCTGGCGCGCGTGCTGTCGGCGCGGCGCTCGCTCGAGCTGTGCCTCTTCGCCTTCTCCAGCCCGCCGCTGCGCCGCGCCGTCGTCCTGCTGCACCGGCGCGGCGTCCGCGTGCGCGTGGTCACCGACGCCGCCTACATGGCCGTGCGCGGCTCCCAGATCGGGCCCCTCCGGCGAGCCGGTAAGCGGGGGGGGGGGGCTCCGTCGGGGCGGGCGGGGGGGGCGGCGAGCGGCGCCCCAGGCCCAGAGGCGCCCTCCGCCCGCTGCGCGCCTTGGCATTTCACTGGGGTTGAGCGGCGCCTTTTCCTTGGGTTTTGCATCGGGACACCGTCCCCAGACGTCGGGAGCGGGACCGTCTGCAAAAGTTTTAAATAACGTAAATAAATAATGGTTCACCGCCCGGAGCGCCTTATTCAGGGCCATTGGCGTGCTTTATAAATGGTATAAATAATTCGCTGCCCATTTTTGCATGCTACAGTTTTGGGGAGTTGGGAGCTCAGCCAAGGCAGAATGAAGCAGAAAGAAGCTATGCTAGAAACTTAACCTCCCAAGCTTTCCCTTTGTAGTATTTTTAAACGCTTGTAAAATACATGCATTGCAAGAAACAACCTAATACACACACGCACGCACGCACGCACGCACGCGCGAAGCGGCTCCTTGCCATGTAGTGATTCAGTCACTGAAATCTGATTCGGCATGTTTATTTGTATTTAGTAAAAAGCAAAATATTTAAAGGTATGCCGTGCTGCCTTTATGCCTTTAAAGGTATGCTGTGCTAGCAAGTGCATACCAAAAGCACTTGACCTGAAATATTTGGGGGGAATGAAAATACTAGTCTGTTATATTACATAGATTTTTAAAATTGGCACACTAACTGCATAATCCAGTTATCCTTGCAGCTTTGGCACTCAAAAGGCTTATGATACATTGCAAGGTGCAGCAGTAGCAATTTGTGCTGTGTTTCACTCTGCATTTTATATAGATGCCCATTTTAGAGGCATTAATTGGAATATCCACAACTCAGTAATTTTTGCATGTTTAGAAAACTTCGTAGTATAACCTTGGTTAGAATATAGAATTTGTGAAACTGAATGGGCTGTTCTGCTTTTTTTAGGGATTCAGGTCCGTCATGACCAGGAAGACGGCTACATGCACCATAAGTTTGCGATTATTGACAAGAAGATGCTAGTCACTGGCTCCTTGAACTGGACCACTCAAGCAATTCAGAGCAACCGAGAGAATGTGCTGATAGTGGAGGAGAAAGACTGCGTGAATCTTTTCCTAGCGGAATTTGAAAAGATTTGGGAAGACTACAATCCAGCTAATTATGTGTTTTTCCCCCAAAAAGAAAAGGAGGTATTGCAGAACTATAAAACCTAACAGATGACAACTTAACAGTAAATATTTTAGTTTAAAGGTAATTCCACCTTCATACTCTTTGAGAATGACCCTATTACTTCTGATAGAAACTGAATAGCAAAGGGAAAGGATGGTGTAATAGATTATCAGTGGGTTTTTTTTTTTTTTTTGAGAAATAAAATGTGTTTTACTCACTGATGCTGAGTTGTGGTGCCTGCGGGCAGGGGTTGCATATTCAGCATGGTGGCTGTGGGCACTGCACCCTCACCCTGCCTTAAACAAGTCATCTGTGGCGAGCCTGTGGCATAGCAGCCTGTAGTAGAGCACTGTGCCTTAAAGAACTCGGTGTGCTGCTGTATGATGTAAACCAGCCCAGCTGAAGTTTGATTCGTGCCGCTGGCCGAGCCAGTTTCAGTAATGATTTGTTGGGAGAGAACTGTTGCAGCGGCAATAATGGGCATTTGGAGGGAATCAAGGTAGTCAGGGAGCATCAGCCCTAAGCAGAACTGTGCTCCTAAGAAGCTTCTGGGAGCACTTCTGGCTTCCAAAGCGTGCGCGCCTCACGTGGCTTGTTTGCTTCCAAAATGTAGCAGAAGAGGAAGCGTTTTGCTGTGCTTATTGCGGGGTTTGCGTGTGGCCAAGGCTGCCCATCAGCTATCCTGCTAATTTGCGAGGACGAACCAGGTAACAACAGAAGGGTTGTTGCTGAAGTTTCCATAGTTGGAAGCCTCCTTATGCTCTGAATGCATCAAGGAGGGGAAGCAGGCTAGAGGCACAGCAGCCTCTTTACTTGCTTTTGACAAGTTTTGTCTTCAAGGAGCAGCTGGAAAGCATACTACTACAGGATATGCTGCTGTGCCCCCCCCCCCCGATTAAATTTTAACTGTTTTACCTCAGATTTGCATTATGGTTTCCATAATTAATAAAAGAGAATGTGTGTTGTGTATAGTAAAAGATGTCTTTGGTCTGTAGAAACACTGTTGTAACTGAGGTGAGTACATTAGTATTTGAACTTAGATATTTTGTTGACTTAGATTGACTCACCATTAAATATGCACAAGTCTTGCAAATATTGTAAAGTCATTTTTATAATTTCAAATGTGTTTTTTGCTACATGCCTGGAAAGCCTCTCTCGAGCAGGCAGAATTATTGGAGGTGGAGGCTGCATATAAGGATAGCACCTAGGCCGTGCAGAGAGTTTGGTTATGAGTGAGTGTAGCATCTCGGCTTGCTGTCTTCCATTTCTAGCTGAAAAATGTGCATTCGGGGGGGGGGGGGTCAAGTCCACTGGCATGTTAGTTCGAAGCTCTTACCTGCTGTTTAGCTCCAACAAAAACCTCCTCCAGAGCATGCCAAGGGTGGTGCAAAAATAGTTTATTACGATATAGTCTTATGTATACTTAAGTAGTATTTACAGAATTATCAGCTACAACCATGGGGACCCTAGTATGTCACACAAAGTTTGTAAGGAATAAATACTGTGACATTAGTGATATTTCTATTACAGTGAACTGCTGAAGAGGGAGAGAGCTGCTCGAAAAGCATGAAAATAAAACAAAAAGAAATAAATCAGATTCATAGGAGCCGGCTCAAGTGCATTCCTTTCAGAAAGAGGCAGATTGGACATACTAATCTTCCGGTAAATTCTTGGGGGCCTCCCCTCAGTCCTCCGCTGACGTGGCTTTCTTTACACCTGCCTCTTCTGGACAGGAGTTACTGTTTTGATGGCCAGTATCAAGCTCCCCACTGCAAACCAAACCATGGCCTTGTTCTGCCTCTGAAATTTGCAGCGCTGCGGGGATGAGGAACATGCTTCTTGATTCTTGGATGACCACTGCAGGATGCCATCGGTTGTGGCCAGTTTGCAGGTGAAACCCATACAGGCCTGACTGTGGATCAGGCGGTCTCAGTGTCACCCAGGGTAGCCTCAGTATGTTAGAAGCAGGCTGGCGCCGAGTGGGCGTGAGGAAGAACTCTGGTAGTAGATGCATGTGCACAGTGCTAGCCTGCCATTTAGCCACGTGTAGGTTTTGTCCGAACAAGTACCACACTGGAGAAATGTATTAATGCAGGCTTTTGCCACTCAAAAAATGTGCATTTTACAATAGCTATTTCTTACACATGACACTTGCTTTAAGCTAGATCAGAATCAGTGCTGCTTCTGGCATAACGCAGTGATAATCCTAACCAAAGCCACATGCATCAGACTTGTTAATTCCGTTGACACGAGATCAGCTTCTATTCCCAACTCCCCCAGTTTCATTTATCTTCTAGTGGACTTCTAGCTGTGGCCTGCAGATAACCACAGGCAGAATACACACACACTTGTTCTTGTGCCACATAATTGTTCTCCAAGGCATGCAGTCAGCAGTAGGGGCCTCTCGGCTCAAAAAATGTTCTAAATTGTGGTAAGCACTGCAACTAAAACATTTTAAAATCACACTAAAATAAAACATGGTGTAGCAGTAAATCGAGTAATAATCATTCTATGTGACTTGCATTCTGCCATGCTGTTGCGACACCGTGCCATGTAACTTGAAGGGGTGTGTGCATTGTGGGAATCAAAATCTACACGGTTCTTTTCCAATAAATCCTTGGCTTACTCTGCAACAGTGTTAAGTTACCATGCAAGAATACTGGTTAGTGACAGAATATCTACCACCACCATTGCTATATAAATATAGTATATCTGCACATCCAATTGTTATTTATGCCACTGTCAAGTATAAGATTATTTAACTGGGTGGGGAAGAAATTCAGTGTATAGATATGTAGGATTAAAGTTTTGAAACACTGTACATGTTCTTTGGATAGGTATTTCCAAAACTAAGAAGGTATCAGAGAAATTTTAAAATATATTTATAACATTCAAACAAACCAACAAACATTCTGAAAGGGAACATAAAGCAGATTTATCAGGTTACACTAATTTCCTTTTCCAAGTCAAAAGGACATCTGTATTAGAACAAGATTAAAAAAAAGTCACCCCAAAAAACCCTCCACTAGTTTTTGAGTAATAAATATTTACATTGCGTGCTTTGAATACTATACAGGTTTTAAATTACTTTTAAAGAGAATAACAAAGCTTTAAAAAATGGAAAAAAATTACAAAGGAAAGATAAGCTACACTGAGCGTGCATGTGCTTAAAGTGTTCACAATGAATTACTGCATATGAACCACCAAAATGTAAAAAGTCTAGTGGGATTCTAATCAAGTATGGTCATTACAAAAAGCAACACTTTTCTAAAACAATGTGTAGGGCTACTTGCTAGCAGCCTCTGCCACAGGAAAAACAGACTGCTTGGATTTTGCACAGCAGCACAAGCAATCCTTTTCCATTTCAGAAAGGAAAACAAGTTGCATTATAAGGATTCTTGTTTCAAAAATAAGAAAAAATGATTTGCAATAGACAAAGTTTAGGAAGCCATTATGCAGGTGTATTTATACTGTACATCCATTTGTGTTGAGCTTTCACTTAGGCCACACATTCTGGTTATTTTGTAGTGTAAGCTTGTATAAAATGCATCAGCTCGCAACAGAATATACCTATTTATTCACACAATGTATATACTGTACCCTTTAAGAGCCATTTTAAAAATACAACTCTCAAAATACCAACTTGCTTTGCTGTGTACGTAGAGCACCTTGACCACAGCAGTACAGACTGTCTTGAGCAAAAGGAAATTTGGTTGTTTTACCAACCTTTTTTTTTTTTTTTTTACATCAATTTAAATGTTTGAAAAACACTGGCTATAATAGTAGATGGCATTTCTGTATTTAGACAAAGAAGTAGATGAATCAACACTAAATGTTTTTTGCAAGAGATAATTTGTTCTTCTGGAAGCTTTCTCTCAAATTGTTAGTAAATTACATAGAAAAGTGAGCAATTTCTTAATTTTTATTTTTTTGCTCAGTGAATGCTCGAAGGAGAGAGAAAACAAAATAATTTCAGAGATGACTGCTACCTCAGTGTCACACCAAAGGATGGTTATTCTAATATGCAGAACAGCTCTTGGCAACCTGAGGGGATGGGCAAACTATGAAGGACATCAAATGAAAACCAGACAACTCTTGCCTCTTTCATACCCAATTAAAAAGCGACCTGACACACAACAAGCACAAAGCTGAAATTCTGCTATGCAGGCTGCCATGTGCGAAGACAGTTAAAACGTTAGGAATATCTTTGTTTTGGCCATTAAAAAACAGCAAAGGTCCACAAAATAGCATCATAGTTGCATGTTAAAAGATACCAGCAAAAAGCTTACACAGAACACTTTGCTCCAATCAACCTAACGTGCTGTGCACTCTTGCTCCAAATGAGTTATTTGGAAACAGCTAGTTTTTATCACCGTGAAACCATCTAATTGGGCACTAAGAATAGGATAAAGCTGCAAGCAAGATTTTTGATCTGGCTAGCCAGTGATTGCAAAACTTTAAATACTTATGTTTGGCCAAAGCTCAATGTTTTTAGTCTGTATATACTGCAGTGCAGAAATCCACCTCAAAATATCTGAAGTTAGAGAATGTGTGGAGAATGCAGTAATCAGCAAAGCAGGTAAAACACTTTAAAATTAAAAAATCCATCTTGCTCATAAAGTTTACAGAATTAACTGTCAGTACTGAGTTGTAAGTTCAAAGAGACTGCTCCTCTATTTTTGTACTGAAATGTGCATGCATTGTTCAGTGCCTTTCTATATGCATTTTCCTGCTTGGAAAAAGACCAGCTGGCTAAGGTGTGCAAAACATTGAAGAATATATTTGCTACCCTTGGGCCCAGTATGTAGAAAACCGATCCTGTAGAACCACTTTGTTTCAGACTGATGGTGGGATCAAGTGCTAACGGACATTCTCCAGCTTGACTTGTCATTTTTCAAACACCACCTTTTATCAGGCTTTTCTTATGACCTGCCATCCCTTGCTATTTCGGCTCCCCTCTCCGCAGCCCCTTACAACTGAACATCCACATGCAGAAGGTACCAGCTCGCACTGAACATGGGGACAATTCTCTCCCCTTTAACAGCACTAAATCAAATCCAAGGCCTTTACCTTTGCTTGGAAGGCTGACCCCACCTCTGCCGTACAGTCCCAAACACCTTGCAAATCAGCATGCCAAAGCCGTTCCTGCTTTGCAAAGAGCCCTGCCAATTACATTTCTCTACTATTCTTGCCAATTATATGGTGGATGCTGGCATTCCAAAAATCAGAGTAGGAAGTGAAATTATTTCTTCTTTAAACATCATCTATAAGAAAGAAAAAACGTCACATCTGAGGTTCTGGGCAGAACACGTATTCTAGGTTCACAGGTAGGAGAAAGGAGAAGAGCTGAGCTGGCCATACTACATTATGTACACACAAGCATACGGCATGGCCTTGCCCTGAAATGCAGCTGGGAGGAGACGGTGATCCCTGCTCTTAACACTTTCCCCAAGAGCTAGCATAATTGTTCTCGATTTACTTCCAGCATCAATGTCTCAATCAGGAGCATTCATGTCTACCATTTCCAAGCAAGTTTAATAAAAGTCTGCCCACCTTCAGAGAGTTCTGTATCATATTAGGAGAACAGATTCCAAATCTGACCACTTAGCAAGAATTCCGCAAGACACAAACCAAGGCTCTCCCAAGTGTCCTTTCCCCCCATAATGCTTCTGCTGGTTGTTGCAGCCATCAAGTTTGACTGAAGGAGCTTGTACCAAAACCACACCTGCACATTTTGCTTCAGAGGTGCAAAGTTAGACACGAAGCATGCACTTAAGCGCTGGGTGATTCTCAACGGCGGTGGAGCTGAGAAGAGTGCATTGCCTTCCTTCTCCCAGGGCCCTGTTGCTATACCGATGCATTCGGTAAAACAGAGCTAGCTTATCAATAGGCTGTTGAGCCTTAATACTGACACATAGTGTAATGGATATACAGTAGAAAGGGTTGGTTTGTATGGAAAGCCAAAGGGGGATATAGCCCCAATTTCTCCCTGCTCTTTTGCCAAGACTGTGAACTTTGCAAGGTAAGGCAAGGCCAGGAATCAGGGAGTCCATTTGACAGCAGGCAGAACCGCCAGTGTTTTTCAGTCTGTCTTCTGAAGCATCTGTACAAAAAAAAAATGAGCAACAACGAGGATCCTAAAAGACAAAGGGTGCTTGTGCTGTGATGCTGCAAGCGAGGAGGTGCACATAGTCAAGATGAACAGGAAGGAGAGAACTAGTCTTTCTTCAAGTCCTTGGATTCAAAGAGCTTGAGGCGCTCCTGCACCGTGAGGCCTTCCTTCAGACTCTGCACATTTGGGATGGAGGGAGAAGAGAAAGTGTCAACAGTAAAGAAAATAATGCTCTGGAGATAAAGGCAAAGTCCAATTCTGAGGAACAGCACAGACACTCAAGCAAAGAAAGGGCAAGGGCTGGCCGCCTCATTGAGATTAGAACAACATGCTTCAGGAAACGCACCGTTATGGAGTGGAGTTATTGGTGAATCAATTGAAGATGAAGAAAGACTGCAAGTGAATCGGATGACCACAGGCACAGCTAGCTTAACCGGGAGAGTGATTAACTGGGGATTCTGAGGCAGATTAAAAGCCTTTGCAGTTCATCACTGTCTCAAAGCACTCCCCAGAACAACTTTGTTCCAGCACCCTATTCTGTAGCTCCAAAGGCCACACTTCGTGAGCCCCAGGTGCTGCTGAAGGATGCATTTGACAAGCGGTACGTTCATATAACTCTTCATTGATCCTGGTCAAGGGCAAATTTTTCAGGATACTGTATTTTTCAGGGGCTGAGTTCCACCAGGACAAAGCCTACCTCATTTAGTGTTTGAGGCTGAGAACATGGGCCTTGTTTGAGGACAGTGCAGCTGACTTCTCAGATAATGTCTGGCTACTCCTAGAAGGTGTTTGACCAGATTCACCTGTCTCAGAATCCAAAGTAGTGAATCAAAAGTTACCTTTCTGCTTTTAAGCTCTGCCTGTTATGGAAAGTTAAGTTTGAGACATGCACATCTGTCCAGCATGCACACGCTTTGTTCCATGCCCTCAACAGAACACCCCTTTGCGCATCTCGGAAGGTGCAGCAATCCCTCCAGTCATGGATGTTAATGAGGGTGGAGTGAGTCTCGGACACAGCCATCCATCTGGTGTGTGATACAGTTCTGACTCTTGTTCTGCTCACCCAACTTCCGTGTAATTAAGGGGTATGGAGAAATTCTCATTAACAGTGGAGATGTGAGCAGGGCATGCATTAAGTGGGCTGCCCCTCAGAGAAGCAGCGTTGCTTGGCAGAAGCTGGTTAGATTACCTATATGACAGAGACCCTGGAACCTGGTGCATTTCAGTTATCCCATGAGACCTGCTCAATAACGGACTGTTATTGGAAGCAAAGACAAAAAGAAAAAAAAAGAACAAGAAATGCATAAATCCTATTTCTTTTCAGAGCTGCTGCGGCCACAACTTATTCCCTCCCTCTCTGGCAAGACCAAGGCAGTCTGGCACTTTTGAGTCTTCGTGACCTGGAACACAGTTTGCTTGCTTGCTTGCTTGTTTGTTCAAACATACAGGGAGGCACAAAAGTGCAACCAAGAGAAAAACACAACTTGGTAATGAAGTGGAGCTACACCACAGTGAAAAACAGGATCTGCATGCACGGACAAAGAAGTATACAAACAAGGAGCGGTAAGGTACAAACATACAGTGGGTTTAATCAGTATTTAACAGACTATCTTGGTTTACCACATGGACATGTTCTTTGTATTTTCTGGTGTGAGCAATCTGTATCAGCTCAGACAAGCTTGGCTAACTTTCAGCCAAAGTGCACACAGGCTTGATACAGGTTTCTCCTTGCCTAACTGTGGGAGTGGGAGGGAGGAATCTTTCTAGAGAATGTAGCATGCTAGGAGGGGGACGTTTATCTTTCTCCTCAGCGCTAAAATCAACTTCCCTCCATGACAAGAATACTTAAGAACCAATCAATGTTCTAGGTGCATGCTCAGGTTGCGCTGTTGGTTCCAGTTGTGTTGAGAAGGGAAGAGAGGAGTCTTCCCAATCCTTCTGTATCCTACTTTCCCTGTAAGGGTCACTTGTAAAAGTGGGATATGGAGCTGCATTCTGTACATCAGACGAACGCTGTATTTGGCCTTTAAAAGCTGGGTGGGTAGTTTGAGCTGCTGTTCATTCCTCTTTCATTTCTAATAGTGCAGGTGATCCAGTGAGGAGTACATTGTCAGAGTTTTATAAGTACTGATGCCCATGCCCTTGTGGGCAAGCTGAAAACAAGTTCCCCTAAGTTAGGAGTTGGCAATGAAGCACCCTCTAGATGTGCTGGACTACAGTTCCCATAATCCCCAACTATTTCCCACGTTGCCTGGACCTGATGCAAGTTGTCATGCTTTATGCAATTGAACAATGCGAAAGGGAAAGAAAGAAAGCATTCACAGCCTGAATACCCAGGGGCTTGAAGGGGTGAATCCAGACTGCTTTCTGCTAACTTAAATAGACGAGAGCAGATCTGTTACAGCTTATTGCTATGGTATGCCTTACTTGGTTAGGAAGATCGCGGGAAGGAAACTCACCTTTGACCTGATGTTTCTTAGTTGCCGGCCAACGCTAGTCCTGTCTTTCTTCAAGAAATCAGGATTGCTTTTGGATTTCATGATATCTAGGTGGGGGAGAAAGGACCCACTTCAACTCTCCTGTGAAACTGCGCCATGTGCAAAATCTCTTTCCCTCACTGTGGATAAAGGCACGCCCAAATTGCGCTCTCGGGCAGATCCAATGTCCTGGGGTATTACAAGTCTCCAAAGGAATCTGGATCCAGTGCGGTTGCCGGCCGAAGCTTTGGCTCCCTTAACCAGCAAGACACACAGACATGCAGGCAGGCAGCCCTACACTGGACGACACTATCTGCGGCATGGGGAATGTGCTGGAGCAGTGGTGGCAAACTGATGGCCCGCGGGCCACAGCGGGCACGCAGAGCCCTCCCTGTCCACACGTGAGCCAAGTTGCCCCAGTGTTGCCCCAGAAGCCGAGCATCGGCTGCGCATGCTCGGAAAGGCTCCAGGCGATGACATCATGTGCCTCGACAGATTAGCCACAACTTGCCCAAGCTTTCGCATGGCCAGTCAGTCCGCTGCCGTATATTTGGGTGAACTGGCTGGGAGTTGTTTTTTTAAACTAAAACCTCAGGTTTTAGGTTTTATTGTAGTGTTGGCACTTTGAGATAAATAAGTGGGTTTTGGGTTGTAGTTTGTGCACTCGGTCTCTAAAAGGTTTGCCATCACCTTGTTAAAGCTTCTCTTCAAAATCCTTTCACTCACACACACAACCCGATGCTGCTTTCATTTTGCACCCTCAATTGTACCCCAGGGCCAGCCACTCAGCAGAAGACTGACCATATCCAGACACGGTGGTGTTCTCAGGTGACTTTTCACCAAGGGCTTCCGTGGCTGCTTTGAGCTGTTCTTTCAACCTGCTAATGTCACAGTCTGCCTTGGCTTTCACAATGCTGAGTTCTGTGTAGATGTCTTTGTACTTGTCACTGGCGTATTTCTTGTCCTGCAGAAAAGACAGTATCAGTTTCAGGTCTTAAAGCAGCAGAGCACTTTCCCTAATAATCTATGGCATAACATTATACACAGAGCTTACCCCTGCAGTGGATTTGGACTCTTCTACACCGGGTACACAGTTTTGTGATTAGCAACTATGCCTTGGCGTGCACAGTTTGAAAGCATATGACACGGAGACCTTGCCGAAGTTAAGCAAGCCTGGACCAAGACCCCAGGGTACCCTGCCTTAAGTTTTGTGATGAAGAAAGGTTGAGACATGAGTGAAACAAAGCCGCTTTCTTTAAGCACCACTTTGAGGAAGAGATGGGATGTGGGAAGGGAGACATCTAAGCTGACTGCCAAGTCCCACTGCAATGGCCACCACGTTTTGCACAGATACTTTCATTGCTTCTGCATTAGAAAAGGGCTGGGAGCCTCTAAGCTCCTGACGCCGACAAGTATCTATTTGCTCCATGTGCTCCACCTTCCCCATTTAAAACATCAAAGGTTGCTTAGCTCACATTCAAATTAGGGTAAACTTAAGCCAACTTGGCTATCACACTGGACATGCCTCCTATTGCCAGTTCAATGTTGCCTTGAAAGAGAAAGTTGGTTAAAATGCCTTCTAATAAATTTAAGGGGAAAAGGAGCTGTGGTTGCCCTATGAACATTACCCTCAATGCTGTCTGCAATTCATCCTTCAAAGAGCTGATCTCCTGCTTCAAGTACTGGATTTCCGATTCTTTGACACGCAGGAGGACCTGCAAGGGAAGGAAATCCCAGACAGGGAAATTTTATGATCATATATCTAATACAGCAAATGAAAAGAGGAAAAACAGCAGTCTCCCTGAACTGAAATGGAGTAATGAGTCCCTCTCCCACTGGCATGTCCTGTGAATACCAGTCAGTTTTCCTTAACGTCTGGGACCAAAGTGGAGGCCACTCACCTCCAACTCATAGGCATCCTTGCCTTGAGTGAGTGGTGAGCCAGCAGTCTCTACCCCACCTTCCCCAGTCAGCAGCGTTCGTAGCCGAGTGATCTCTGCAGCCAGGCGGTTGTTCAGCTCCTGTGAGAACACCACACAGATGGTAACAGCAGTAATTCTGACTATACCAAACGGCACCAAACGGTCTCCAGGCCTGGCTAGTGAGCATGCCAAGAAGACATGGTCCTCAAGGGAGTAAGGATGTCACCCCACAAAACAAAAGCATCTCTTTTGGCTTTCCTTGGTGCTGCTGTGACTTCCAGGGTTTCGGTTGGAGAAATAGAGCTTGGAATCTCTGTGTGGACCAAGGTTTGCTTTTTCCCTGGAGATGAGCCTTGACTGACTGACTGACTGACTGTAGCCAAAGGCGACCCAATGCAACGTCCCTGTCAGACAACAGTAATACAGCCATAAAACAGCCGCATCCTTTGTACCAGAGATACTGTGGAATAACACTGGGACCTTTATGCTTTGCCATCGAGCTGCAGCCACCTGCTTTGGACACCTTGTGCTTCTGAACTTAAGTGACCCAGGAGCTTTAATTTACACTGGGATTACAGGTATCTAGGATTCTGGTCCCACTGCTGTGAATTTTAAGTTTCAATAAGGATATAACAAGCAGCTCTCTTCTTCAAGGAAAAAAATGAGGCAGGTCAAAACCTAGGAAATAACTTCGCTTTTTCACTCTATAAAAAGCTGTCAATCCAACCTTTCTCCTGAGAGATACTGGACCCAGTTCTTTACCTGGTTGTGTGCATTGAGCTCTTGGTTTTCCCGCTGGCACTGGCGGAGGGCCTGCCTCTCTGCCTCCAGGGCTTGAGCCAAGTGAGCATTCTCCAAACACTTCTGAGAGTACTGCTCTGAGAGGACTTCAAGTTCACGCTGGACAGACTGCAGCTCCTCTCTGATGTGGTGGTGGTGGAGACAAAGGGGACATATGCAAGATCAGCTGCAATGCCTGACTTAGTTTAAATTGGCACTCAGAATAAAGGTGGACAGGGAGGGTGGGAGTCGCTTTGCACAATGTGTGAAATTAGGAACATGAAGAATTATTTTTACCTCTCCAAGGAGCATGTGATTCAATCCGTCAAAGCAAGCATTTTAGGCACATTAATCATACCTGCTTGCAAATTGAGAGTGAGCAATATACAGACGTTGCATAATTTGGGAATAGGCAAGGCTCAATGGAGCGTTTGCAGACAAATACGTGGAAAAAGCTGAGTTTTTGCAGCAGGCTCTAGAAAAAGCCTGAACATTTCCAAGAATTCTTTGAAAATATTCAGAAAAAATAAGGCTTCTCCAAATCGAGATGAGGAAATGCAGCTCCCATACAGTCCATTCAGATAAGTTCCCTTGTGTGTATGAGAGGAGAGATGAGCTCATTAAACTACAGTGCCCTCTCAAATAGAAAGCTGGACATGTGATTCTTTTATGCTGTGCAGGTGGAATGTACCCAATTGACATGGACACCTCCAGGACTAGAATCTCAGGGGCTGCGGGTCAGAATTACAATTCATTAACCAAAATCCTTATGGGACCAACAGAGATGTCAACAAAAACATCAATAAAACTGTTACCTATAGAGGACTGTCCAATTTCTCCATAAGAATTGTTCCTCCTATACAATCATTATCACAAATAACTTAAGATTTCATGGATTATATGCCACAAAGTTTCACCTACTGGTCTCTCCTATTAATGTATTTATTTTAGAAATCTGTACGCCTCTGTGTAAAAACCATCACAACGGAGGAGACTTTTTTTTTATCACCACCTGTAGTGCTTCAGAAGGCAGGGAAATTCACAGAAAGGCCTTAGTAAATAGATTTAAGGCTTAGGCACACTGTTATGTTCTAACAGCTTCCTCCTTTCCCCAGTGACTGAAACAGGCAGCAGAAGAGAAGGGAAAGTTATTCTGTTAAATTTGCCAAGACTGTTGTACATTATCCTCGGCAATGAATGTAGAAAATGTAAAAGAATGCATACAGGTATTGCCTCTGGAGGGCTCCAATGTCTGAGTTGATGCTGCTAATTTGAGATCGTTGGGTCTTTTCCAGCTCCCGCTCCAACTCCTCCCGGTGGGCATTCTTCATGGCTTCTATGGCTGGGAAGGGAAGGGAAAAGGATTAAAAATACACCATAGTAACCACACATTCCGGTCTTCTGGTACTGCCAACAAGAACCAACTTCTGATACTACATGTCTCGGCCACATTTGCATGTTCTCACTGCTCTACCTGAGATGGTAGCCGCCGTCTCCTCTGCTAGCAAGCGATCCTTCTCCTCCCGCAGTTTCTCCAGTTCTCGCTGATGCTGCCTTTGCAAGTCCTCTATCTTTTTCTGATGCGTTTCTTCCATGGCTGCAAAGCCTCGCTCGCAGGTTGCCTGCAGAACGGGAGAAAATTCCCATTGCTATTTATGTATTTCAGCAACCCAACCTAAACGCCAGAAATGATTGTACAACTGGATGAACGGATGGATAGGCTGACAGAAGACTGAAGTCATGCCACGGATGCATAAGCACACAGGGAGCAGCTGGGGTCTCCTAGCCAGACCAGAGGTCTTCAGGGGAGGTGCACCACACCTCTCCACTCTTGGCAACCCATTGTCTGGAAGAGGGCTGATTAGGGCAGGGTTACTTCAGAACCCTTTTAAACGTGCATTGCGGAACAGGACTTTAAACTTCATGAAGGCAGGTTTGTTTCTGTTTCTAGAGTCCCACTGAGCTGCAGCCTGAGATGGGGATGTGATAGAACCAACTAAAAACAACACAACCAACCCAGTGGACTGTCATTTCATGGAAATACTAAGCTTGGCTGCATACTTTTAATCCTACGTGACTGAATGGTTGTGCTTGCCTACACCCGTCTTAGTCCTCATTAGTCCTGCGTGTGGGTTCCTATCTAGCCCACTACCGCATTGTTACTATTCTGCACAGCTTCCTTTTCCTCTCTTAATAGGGAGTAAACTGGACTGCTGTAATCACCATGGTTAGGAGCTGCAAGTTTTATACCTGGATATAGAAAACGTAAGAGTGCTGGCCAAGTATGAAGGGCAATGTGCACTTGCCCCTTTAAAGGAGTTGTTTTCCTCCAGCATTGCAATGTTACACAACTGTGGCTATGTAAAAGGCCTTTGCCTTCTTGAGAAACACAAATACTACCAGGAAAGTCTCATACAACTTGAATTTTGTTTCATTTTGCCAAGCCCAGGGAAATGCTGGTGGCAGAATCTGTTTCTCTGCATGAGGGACAAAGGGGGCTTTGTTTGACAGATGCTGTAAGCTCAACCTAATGACCTGCCTCCGAAGCAAGCAGTACCAGCTATTCTCCGGCATTCTTGCAAAAAAAAAAAAAAAAAAAAATCTGGAATCACCTTGATTAAAACTGAGTGGCATATCTCCTTTTCACAGTGTTATTGTTAATAACTCCACCCCCAGACTAAGTCGTCCTTGGTAGATTGGAGGGCAGAAAAACACCAGTGTGGCTACTTTGAGATTGGACTGCCAAGTTAGAATTGCAAAGGAGTAAGTGAACGGGCACACCTAACTGCTTATTAATGCACGAGTGGCGAGTCAGAGGAATGTCAAAGACATTCACACATTTATGGCTTAATGAAATTACCAGAGCCTGTGGAGAGGAAGAAAGATTGGAAATGGATTGGAAGATTGGATTGGAAATGCTTCCAGAATTCTGTGTTCTTGTGGTAAGAGTAGCCTCTGGTTACTTGCTTGATGAACAAGCAGAGGATCGGCAGACTTTCCGACATCATCTGATCTCAGGGAAGGCTTCTTTTCCTGTGGGCTGATTTTAGGCCATCTTGATTATCCTTTTTAAGAGTTGCCATTTGATCAGCCGTGTGTTGCTGTTCTGCAGACACTGCCCAGAAATGTTCAAGTAGTCCTAGATCTATGCCTGGAACACTGAATTTTCTCTAGAGATCTTAAAATAGGAGAAGTGCTCCTGTTGGGCAAAGGGAGGGAGCCCTTTTCAGCTGAAGGACCACACTGGCTTCTACATAACCTTCCAGGGCCTGAAGGGCAGTGGCAGGAGTGGCCAACACCTGAAGCACTGGTGGCCATTCTCTCTCCCACTTCTCTGTCCATCTCTCTCTCTCTCCAGCAAGCTCTGGACTGCCTCTGTCACCACACATCTAGCTCACACATAACAACCCACTGATTTTTAAATCAACGAGTGCTACATGATACACCTGTTTTTCCACTTTAGCACATAACCCATGGCAGGCTCCTTCATAGGCTGTGCAGTGTGACAAAGCCACAGGCTTTATGAAATGCAAGATGTGGAACTAGGGGCTGTTGTGACACGGAAAGCAGGGCTCCCTCTGTGTCTCCATTTTCTCTTCTCTGCAATCTGCACTGCTATCTGAGAGCTCCTCCTAGAATCGGGCCAGTATCCAAAGTTAATCCAACACAGAGAAGACCCACTGAAATGAAGTTAACTTAAGTCTCATTTATGTCAAGGAGTCTATCCTATGTAGGACTAATGTGGAATACTACCTCATGAAAAATTAGTTTTACAAGGAGTTTTTGTTTTTTGCTCTTGATATAATTTAAATGTTGATACAAAACTGCTACCTGACTTGGACTCATGTGAGATGAAGTATGTTTTGCTGAGCAACTTAAGGTTGATCTAAATATGGTATGGAGTGGGCTTCCACGGGAGGCAGTTGAGGCCCCATCAGTGAGGGTGTTCAAAGATAGGCTAGACATGCACATGGTGGGCATGTCGTGAGCGGAGCCAGGAGTCAGACTAGATGGCCTGGGAAGCCCCTTCTGACTCGCTCTGTTTCTAAATATTGGGGATGTGAAAACCTGCTCAAAGAAGGCATTTGTGATGGTCTAAGATAGCTTTGGGATACCCTGTGACAAAAGAAACATAAAAAGCAGTTCCCGAAGCGAATTCATACGGTTGTAATCTCCGTTTGAAACTGGGGTATAGCAAAGGACATTTCCCTCCATCAGGATTGGCTGCCTAATGAAGCCTTCACTGTTAGAATCAGTAAAGTATCCTACCTATTAAAACCTATGTATGTTGTGTTGCAATTCAAGTAGAACTTGGTTAAGGAAGTCTGACCTTTTAAAACTGTATCATGGCTTTGAGTGAAAAAAGTGTTCAGGCAGAAATTGGGAAGAAGGAGAGATGGGATTGTAAAAGTTGCAACTGAAAAACAGTTACGGGAAATCATCTGAAATCTAAAGTGAGGTCGGGCTCAGTGATGGTCCTGCTGCTGGAGCTGGGATGCATCCCCAGGGCCCCGTCTTTCCTAACTGAAGGAAGTGATGTCAGCACTGAAATTGATGCTTTATAGTTACAGTGCAGTTTAACTTCAATTTAACATTTAAGAGCCAGCCTGAAGGACTTCAGACAGTCCTGGCTCATGGCCTTAGAAAAGGGGATGAGTGCCGCCCGCTCCAGCCATTTGGCTAGCAGAGTAAAATCTGCAGGGGCTCCTTTCCTTTCCTTTCCTTTCCTTTCCTTTCCTTTCCTTTCCTTTCCTTTCGGACTATAAGTGTTTGATTTAAAATGCATCACAGGCGTAACCATCATGGAGTTTGAATCACACCCTTTAGCACTATGCCTAGAAACATTTAACATTCATTCGGCTCCTAGGCTATCCACTGGCCATCTGGTTCTAAGCAGGGAGAAGCAACCATATATATACACGACATAGAAAGATTAAATTCACTAAAAAACCTTAAGATTCTCAAAATCTTTCTGGTATTTCTCCCTCAAGGTGGATGCATTCCCCTCAAGGTGCTTGTTCTCCAGCTCATCTCTCATGACATTCATTTGGGCTTCCAGCTCTTGAATGCGCTCTCTCAATCCATGCATGGCATTCAGCTCACACTCTGAAACTTGCATGCCACCGTCAACTTCATTCCCAGTTGCTGTAACTTCTGCATGAGACATTATTTTGGGCAGTGCTTCTGGGTGCTGCTTCTGATATACATCTAAAGATTCTTGCAAGCCCTGCAAATTCTCATTGTAGTGCTTCTGCAAGGTCTGTAGTTCGTTGTCATGGAGGGCCTGCAGTTCTTTCATCTTGAGCTGGAATTCATCTTCCAGAGCTTGTATTTGTTGAAGGTGGTATCTTTCTAAATTCTGCTTATCTTGTACAAGGGCATCTAGGCGGAGGAGCCCTTCAGTTTGTTCAGCCTTGAGGGCATCCTCAGTTCTATTTAGCTGGTCAATCACATTCTGAATCTCTTCCTCATATTTGACTTGAAGTGCTGATATTTTCTTGCTCTGTTCAAGTTCTTCCTCTTCCAGGTGCTTCCGCTGGCTGTCAAGCTGTTCCACTTTGGCTTTGAGATCCGCATTCTCTTCTTCAAGCAGAGCAATCATCTCAGCATACTCATTCTGCTGTTTCCGGAGCAATTCTTCGTACTCCTCTCTGAGGGCAGCAACAGCCCTTATGCGTTCCTGACACAGGAGGTCTACGTTCTGCAGAGACTCCTTGTAGAGTCTTGCCTCCTTAGCATACTCTAATCTTGCTCTGTAAGCCCCGTAACAAACCTGGGCCTGGATGATTGCATCCTGAACTAGTAAAGAAGAGTAACGCTCGAGATCTCCCATACACACATCATAAGGAGGACTGCTGGGGATCTTCAGGAGTTTGTGGCAATCTTTCAGGGCATCATCAGGGGACAGGGACAGGAGAGCCGTAGATATTTCTTTTAGTATGTTTGCTCTGTCCTTGAGCTGCTGAGCAAGTTCATCCTGAACAGCAGCCACCGCTTGACTGCTCAGATCCTGCAAACTGTGGCCTCCTGCCATGTTGTCATGAAGGCTTGTATTCCAAGCTGACTGAGCTCTTTCTGAAGTGCCCTCTTGGATTTCAAGGGCTTTGGTAATCTGGTGCATGACCCCAGCAAATGCAGGAGTCCTGTATGCTTGAATGATTTCTTCCAGCATGCACTTATGCTGCTGAAGCGCTGTTCTGGTATTGTGAAGGTCTTCTTCAATGGCCTTTAACCTCTGATGAAAGGACTCTCTCATTTTGTGGGCAACAAAACCAAGTTCTGCTTTAATTAGTGTGCTACCTGCAACTGAGTGAATGAGGCACTGTGGGACATTCGTACTTGGAGACTCCCCTCTCCTTTTCTCATCTTCTTCCGTGGCACCCAAGTGCTTCCTCAACTCCTCTACCTGGCCCCAAAACTCATCTTCCAGCACCAGCTTTTTGGATAAGATGTCAGCCAAGGCCACTGCAGTATGTGAAATATTGGAAGGCTCTAACAAGACTGCATCTACTGTACCATGGATCTCTCTAAGGGCCAAAGAAATCTCGGAAGTTGCGTCTCTCAAAGACTCTGCTATCCGGTTGATCAAGCAGGCTTCAAAAGCCACCTTCCTGGAGAGCAACCGCAACTGGTCTTGGACAGAAAACTCTGCTTGCTGCTGTGGGGTGGCTTCCTCCTCAGCGTAGCTGCCTTCTGCATACAAAGCCCGGTCTGTAGGATGCTCTTTTGGTTGGCTATCAGGCAAGGAAAGCGTCTGTTCTAACGTATGGATTGCATTGGAAAGCACAGTTTCCATATTGGAGAAGGGGTCACAAAAAACGTCTCTCTCTTTCTCCTTGTTAGATCTGGGCAAAGTTCTCAGCTGTTCTCTGCATTGTTTTAAACACATTAAGGCTTGGTCATTTCTCCCATGGAGCCCTCCTAGTTCATGAACATGGCTCTCAATTAGCTGGAGTTTTTCTTGCTTTTCACTTTCTAGCTGTGAAATCAGCATGCTGACCTGCGTCAAGCTATCCTGAAGCTGCTCCCTAAGCTGGGCTTCAGTGCTGGCCCACTGGTGGTGAAGTGCAATAAGAGTGTCTTGGTTTTGGCCCTGTTGGCTTTCCAGTTTCATGGTTACATCTTTGAGCTTTTCTTCCGTGATGTAAAGCTTGGTTTCCAGGGAGTGAATGATAGAGAGGTAAGTTTCAGAATCTCCTGAGGCCACATAACAGGGAGCTGGTTCAGATGACATGCTGTCCTCGGAAAGTGATCTGTCCTGGCTGGTGTCTGAGGATGTGCTGCTGGTCCATGTCTTCTCTGATCCATCAGGGTGAATGTATTTCTGACACTGGATATTGGAGAAACGTATCCTTTGCCTTTTTGCTCCTGGGACTTCTGCATCAGGTTTTCCCGAGTCCTTTAGACAGATCTCTCTCTCTTGAAGATCTACGGATTTTGAGGGAGACCTACTTTGCTCTGTGTTCACCACTGTAGGCTCACATGTCTGCTTCTGACTGGTACTGCAGCCTTCATTATCATCCACAAGCATGCTGTCTAAGTTAGCAAATCCTTGTGACTGTGCTAGCTGCACCACCTGACCAGTATCAGCTGTGTCTGTTGCAACACTCAGTGCCAAGCTCTCATCAACTGATGTTTCCAACGCATCTTCTTTGGACTGCTGGTTTCCTTCCATCTCCTCCAGACTGGTACTCGAAGTAGCCATTTTTAAAAATGGTTCACAGATGTCCTTCCTGTCCATAACTCTCAAGTGAGTTTCCCTCACCACTCTCAGCTCTTCCTCCTTTTCTTTCAGGACCTTCTGCAGGTTCTGGAATTGTCCTGACACAACCTCATAGGAACGCTCCAGAGTGTGATAGTTGCTCTCCTCCAACTGTAGCTTGGCCTGAAGTTTGGCCACTTCATTATCTGACTCGGCCACTTGGTTCATCAGCTCTTGGAACCGGCACTTGATCTGATCCCTTTCCTCCTCAAGGCCCTTTATATGCTCCACAAGCTTCTGGATGCTCTCTTCCTTCATTTCCAGCTGCTCTTCCAGCTGATGGACTATTTCACTGCTTTCAAATTTGGCTGTTAGTTTCTCCTTCTGCAGGATTTCCAGCTGTTGCTCATTATTCTGAAGTTGATTTTCATACTCACTGGCTTTATCTTCCACTTCCTTCAAGCTCTGGATCAACACCTGCTTCTCCTTTTCACAGCTTTCCAGCAAAGCCTCATAATTCTTCTGGAGCTTCTCTTCCATTGACATTCGAGACTGTTCACTGGCACTCAGTTGCCGGCTCAGGTCAGCAATCCGATCTTGGAGCCGCTGAACTTCTTTCTGGTGGTCCCTTTGCAAAGCCTGCTGCGTCTCTAAATCCCTCAGCTCCTGGGTCTTTTCTAGCAGGAGTGCCTCCGCCTTCTTGAGCTTCTGCTCACTGGCTTTCAGCTGGGAGCTCAGTGCTGTCTCACTGTGCTGCCACTCTTCCATCTGCTCTTCGGCTTTCTTCTTCTCAGCCTTCAAGTCACTCTTCAGCTTGGCCAGCGTCTGCTCCTTAATGGAGAGCTCCGCAGCAGCACTGCTGAGCCTTGCCTGCAGGCTCTGAATCTCGGCCTCATGGTGCCGTATCACGTCCTTTGCCTCCCCATAGCTACGCTTGAGCGACTGGATCTGCTGATTTATCATCTCCTGCCGTTGGCACTGGGCTTCCAGCTCACTCTGAAGGTCTCGGTTGACTTTATGGAGCCTCTGCCAGGCCCCTGATGAGGAGGTGGCCACCTCAGTCTTTAAAAGAAATCGATTAAACAGGTGATTAGTAACACTCTTGGTTGCCAGTTCTGAGTGTCACACCTCTGGTCAGTTAGACCACAGAGCTCCTTGAATTGGTTTAGCCACTATCCATCTGTTCCAATTCTGGATGGTGTCAGGGTTTTTGGTTTTTTTGCTTTTAAAAATCCCTTTTGCCCAGGGACAGAGGGGAAACTTCTTCCAGTCTCAGAGACTACATGGATGATATACAAAACAATTTTAATGCAAAAGAGCCTAAGAGAAACTAATTGAATAAGAAAACAAAAGAGATGGACACCACAACAAAAAAAATGACACAGGACAAGTAGAAGAAAGAGCTGGACAAAGCAGTGAGGACTGTGAGGAAGGGGCATGGTAAGCAAGTCACTAGCAGTTGAGTACCTTTTGGAAAAACCCACCTGTGAAGGTGAGCCTTTGAGGCCAAACAAAATAGGTATGTCCTGGGGTGGGAATCGCTGAACTTAATGCATGTCAATCCTGTTCTGCTGGAACCCTATTTCCATGTGTCTTGCACCCGCATCTTATGTTCTGACAGCCACCCCAACTTCTGGGGCAGGGCAACCTGTAAATCTAAGAACTGACAGTTGCTACCAGACTGTGTGAGCATGTCGGTGGTCTACAGTGCCATGTACCTTCTTTGCCGTGTGCATCACGTGTGCAGGTTCAGATAATGAAGCTCTGCAGCACTGATGAGAGACAGAACCGACACAACTGCTCTCCCCCGTTCTGAGGAGATGGAAGCCGCCACAACACTGAAATAAACCTTTTACTGCCTTCTGCTCATAGTAGGAAAAAAGTGAACGTATTTTAAGTTCTAGACCTGTCAGCTATTTGTGCTTTGTTTTCGAATCCAAACAAGTGGGAAGGAAAGAACGGGTATGATGAGAACATAAACATCAGAACAAGGAATCCTTGGAGGGAATGAAACCAAAGCCATGATGCATGCACAGAGAAAAACGTACAGAGAATCATGCAAGAGTTGGACAGGAAATCATGTGGCTTGGAGAACATACAAATAGAAAGAGGCAGGAAGAGCACAGCATTGAGCCTAGCAATTTGGCCTGCCTTGCTGTACTGTGACTGCTGGCAGGGACAGCCCACAGATGTGACACTCAGGTACGTTAACTCAGATAACATGCTTCCACAGCGAAAAACCTCCATGCAGTATTACCACACCCAAGAGAGATTAGCAGAGTGACCCCCCCCCCCCCCTCATCCCAAAGAAGCCAGAAGACAAAGCTGGTGTCTTGGAAAAAGAGGAGAAAACAGTCATGCTCGACTTTCATTAGCATCAAGTGGGCTCAAGGAACTCAGCTTGCAGTTGAGCTCAAGGCAGGAGGTATGAAAAGTTAGGTTACAAGAGATCAGCAAGGGGCTCCAGTTCCACATGCATGCGCTTAAGCCCTGGAAATGTGCAGAACCTCAGCTGGGAGAAAAATCTGTAACATTAGCACCATGAACCTGGAATGGGAGGAAGGGAACCAACTAAACGCACTCCAAGCTCTATGTTTTGCAGAAACATGTCTGAAAAATGTTCCTAAGAAGCTATGTCCACTTTTCACAAGGATGATTTGCTTTCCTGCCGGGAAACACAGCTACCACGAAAGGACGTGCATTTTCCCTTTTTTAAAGAGGGACAGACAAGACAACCAATACAATTTGTTTCCCAGTCAGGTGGCTTAGTTCTTCACTGGCTCCCTGACAAGAACGGGTCCTACAAGCAATGGTTCTATGGTCAAACTGCATATTTCAAGTTGGGTCAGCACAAAATGGCAGGGAACGTGTGAGTAGTCTGATAACCAACACCGGAGAGCCATTATCCCGACCTAAAAAATCCGAGCAGCAGTCTACTTCATTTTTGGTATCACCCAGAAAGGGGGCTCCAAGATCTTCAAAACCTTTCCTTAGTCTTGAGGGAGAAAGACTTCTAGAAGGCCTGGTCACACCAGAGTGGAAGGTGGGAAAATGGAGCCTGCCCCATTCCAACGTGGAGCCTGCAAAATGGTTCATTTGCCTTCTTTCTGGAAGAGACCCCATCAAAAAAGTGAATTGCCTGGCAAGAGGCTCGGGAATCTTGGCCAGGTGGTTGCCTATCCCAGAGGTCTCCTAGAATGCTGGAAGCAGTATGAGGAGGAAAGGGTGTTTCTGTAGCACCCTCAGCGTCCGCAGAACTCTGTGGGGTGGATGGGAGCCCTTCCCTGAAACGCCTCCCCAGAGGGCCTGCAAAGACTTCCGCTGACCTGCTCCAGCGGAGCTCCTTCCGGCACAAGCGCTTCCCAATTTTGTAGCTAAGCCATCAAGAGTAACTGGAGCTATTGCTTCACTTGCAATGGATGCGGGGGTTTGCCGCATTAACCTCTTTCACTGCTTTAAATGTTATCAGCATACCTTCACGTATAATGAAAGGCATAACTTTCAAAGAGAAAGAACCCTGCCCTCCTTTAGGACGGCTATGCTGCGTTAGCTGTTACTATAATAATGCGGTTTCCTGCATCCGAGACAAAATGTGTGCTCTAAAATGCAGCGTATCACTTCCACATTTGCTACTGCTTGCATTGCTGCATGATCTGATGCCCTTCTCTTCTTATTATATCTACCTCTTAACCAATCAACTGATTCAAAGTTACACCCCTCATCTTTTTATTTAGCAAGCAACGGTGATAAAGAGCCGCACACTCAAGGCATGCTGGGTAAATGGAAGAAAAAGAAATCTATTTCTACTGCCTCGCTATGGCTGCTCCCTCCTAATTTTGCGCTTCAACTCAGTTCTGCCCACTCTAAACACATTCCAACCATCAAAATCTTAACAGGACACCTCATTTTTGTAACCCTAGTACAGGGCTAAAGTTCCACTGAAAATAATGCGATATTGAAAAAGCCTTCCTTGAGCAGCTTTTTCTGCACAGCTCATCCTTTCTGCCCATTCTAAGCACATTCCAACCATCAAAAACCTGCCGGGACGCCTCGTTTTTCTAACCCTAACCCTACCCTGGTGCACACCCCTAACCCTAGTATAGGGCTAAATTTCCATTGAAAATAATGCGATTTTGAAAAAGCCTCCTTTGAGTAGGTTTTTCTGCACAGC